CCTTCACCCTTGACTCAGGTGCTTCCCGTTGTTTCTTTCGTGACAGTACTGAGCTCACACCGCTTCCTGCACCGGTCCCAGTCTCCTTGGCTGACCCCTCTGGGGGCCCAGTCCTTGCCCAGTCCACCACTGTACTCCCTTGTCCGGCGGTTCCGTCTGGCTCGTTGTCGGGTTTCCACCTCCCCTCGTTCTCGACGAACCTGGTGAGCAACGCTGTCATCCAGGATCAGTGGGTTGACACCTTTACCCCTGGAGGACAGCGTGTGGCGATCTGCACGTGCTCCAGGACCGGCCGTCACCTGGCTACGTTTACCCGTCGGCCGGGGTCGAGTCTCTACACACTGACCACTGCGTCTCCTCAGGTCGCTGCTGTCGGTCAGGTGTCTGCGTCAGGTCTGGTAGCCCACGCCTGTGAGTGTCGTTCCCTGTCGCACCAGACTCTTCTCTGGCACCACCGCCTGGGTCACCCCTCCTTGCCACGCCTTCGTGGCATGCATTGTCGCCACCTTGTGTCTGGTCTTCCCAGGTCCCTCCCTCCCCTCCCTGCCTCGCCTGCGCCGCCTTGCCTTCCTTGCGTCGAGGGGCGGCAGCGCGCCGCTCCTCACTCCTCCTCGTTCCCCCCGACAGAGGCTCCTCTGCAGACCCTCCACCTGGACGTGTGGGGCCCAGCCCGCGTTCGTGGTCAGGGCGGTGAGCGGTACTTTTTGCTGGTTGTCGACGACTACTCGCGTTACACCACGGTCTTCCCCTTGCGCACCAAGGGTGAGGTCCCTGCTGTTCTGATCCCTTGGATCCGCACAGTTCGTCTCCAGCTCCGCCGCCGTTTCCGGACGGATCTTCCTGTCCTGCGTCTGCACTCTGACAGAGGTGGTGAGTTTTCCTCCGATCTCTTGAGGACCTTCTGTCAGGCGGAGGGCATCGAGCAGACCTTCACGCTTCCGGACTCCCCACAGCAGAATGGGGTTGCTGAGCGCCGCATTGGCCTGGTCATGGAGGTCGCTCGTACCTCCTTGGTCCACGCGGCGGCTCCCCATTTTCTGTGGCCGTTTGCTGTCCGGTACGCCGCGCATCAGCTCAACCTCTGGCCCCGTGTCTCCTTGCCGGAGACCTCGCCCACACTGCGTTGGACGGGGGAGGTTGGCGATGCGTCGCGCTTCCGGGTGTGGGGTGCTCGTGCCCTTGTCCGCGATACGTCCGCGGACAAGCTCTCCTCCCGCACGCTTCCCTGTGTCTTCCTTGGCTTTGTCCCTGACGCGCCGGGCTGGCAGTTTTACCACCCCACCTCGCGCCGGGTCTTCGCCTCTCAGGATGTCACCTTTGACGAGTCGGTCCCTTTTTACCGTCTCTTCCCCTACCGCACTGCCCCCCTCCCTCCCCCGCCGCTGTTCCTTGCTCCTGGTCCCCCTCCGGTAGACCCCCTCCCCCCTCAGGGTCCTGCTCCTTCAGGTGTCTCTCAGGTAGACCCTCCTCCCGTCGCTGAGCCTGTCGAGGTCACAGGTGACTCAGGTGCTGCTGCAGGTGGTGCTGCTGGGAGTGCTGAGTCTGGGGGTGCTGAGCCTGCGGGTGCTGGGCCTGGGAGTGCTGGGACTGCGGGTGCTGGGGCTGAGGGTACTGTGCCTGAGAGTTCGACGCCTGGGGGTGCTGTGCCTGGGGGTGCTGCGACTGGGAGTGCTGAGCCTGCGTGTGCGGAGTCTGGGGGTGCTGCGCCTGCGGGTACTGAGCCTGGGGGTGCTGCTACTGAGCCTACGGAGCCTCGGGTTGCTGCGTCTGGGGGTGCTCCGGTTCGGGGTGCTGAGCAGTCTCTCACACCGCAGCAGCTTCGTGACTGGTACGTCCGGCGCTTTCGCCGTCCTCGTGGCTCGGCTGGAGTTGGGGGTGCTGGAGCTGCTCGTCCTGGGGGTGCTCGTACTGGGGGTACTGGAGCTGCCGGGACTGGTTGTTCTGGGAGCACTACGACTGGAGCTACTGGAGCTGGGGACTCTGGCGCTGGCGGTGCTAGCGGAGTTGGAGCTGCCGACTCTGGGGGTGCTCTTCCTAGCGGTGCTGCGGACCCTGGGGGTGGCGCTGCTGCTGGTGCTGCGGACCCACCTGGTGGAGCTGCTGCTGGAGCTGAGGACCCGAGCGGTGGCGCTGCTGCTGGTGCTGGGGACCCGGACGTTGGAGCTCCTGCTGGTACTGAGGACCCGGCCGCTGGAGTCTCTTCTGCTTCTGGAGACGCTGCGCGGCCGCGACCGTACTTCGTACCGCTCCTTCAGCAGGTTCTTGGGCAGGCTCCTCCTCCTTGTCCTCCTCCCTCCGTAGGGTGTCCTCCGCCTGTCCAGCCGCAGTCACAGTTACCGCCTACCTCGCCTCTCCCTGCTCCCTCTCCTTACACTGGTCCCACAGGAGGTCTTACAGAGCGTCGTGAGCCTGAGTCTCGTCCTGCGTCGCCTGTTCGTCCTGCTCGCACTGGTAGTCGTGTCCGTCGTGAGCGTCCTCCTCCTGTCCCAGGCACTCACTACATGACTCTGCGTCCCTCTACTGCTCCTCAGCGTGTCCCTCTACCGTCTCCTCCTGCGTCCTCTTTGCCTGCCGTTCCGGACCCTGAGTCTGACCGGTATCGCGCTGAGCACCCTACTGTCACGCGTCTCCTAGCTACTGTTGTCACTGACCCTACCTTTGAGTCCTCGGCTGCGTCTGCTCTGGTCGCTGAGTTGGTTGACTTTGCTGCTGCCTGTCGTCTAGACTACGCTGCTAGCCTTGTTGCTGAGTCTGAGTCTGCGTCTGTCTGTCCTCCGTCCGTCGGGGGTGAGTGTGCTCTTGGCACGGACGTCCTTGAGGACAGGCAGGAGGACTTTGACTCTCTTGCGGCTGCTGTACCTCATCTCGTGGCCTGGTTGCTTGCCCCTGAGGGAGACCCGGATGCACTAGACATCCCCACTCCGCGCACTTACGCAGAGGCGATCTCGGGTCCCTACTCCTCTCAGTGGCAGACAGCCATGGACGCAGAGATGGCATCCTGGAAGTCCACAGGCACCTACGTCGACGAGGTTCCCCCTCCTGGGGCGAACATCGTCGATGGCATGTGGATTTTCAGGGTGAAGCGGCCGCCAGGTTCTCCGCCTGTCTTCAAGGCTCGTTACGTTGCTCGAGGCTTCAGTCAGCGTCAGGGGGTCGACTTCTTCCAGACCTTCTCCCCCACCCCGAAGATGACCACTCTTCGGGTTCTGCTGCACGTTGCTGCTCAGCGTGACTACGAGCTTCACTCTCTTGACTTCAGCACAGCGTTCCTGCAGGGCAGCCTGCACGAGGAGATCTGGCTGCGCCGCCCACCTGGCTTTACTGGGTCGTTTCCCCCTGGTACCCAGTGGAGCCTCTGCCGGCCAGTCTACGGTCTCCGCCAGGCGCCACGTGAGTGGCACGACACACTGAGGACTACACTTGCGGCTCTTGGGTTCGCGCCGTCTACTGCTGACCCGTCGCTGTTTCTGCGCACAGACACGTCGCTGCCGCCGTTCTACATTCTCGTGTACGTCGACGACTTGGTCTTTGCTACTGCTGACACTGAGGCACTCGCTCGTGTGAAGTCGGAGCTGCAGAAGAGACACACCTGCACTGACCTGGGTGAACTGCGTAGCTACCTTGGCTTGCAGATCACCCGGGACAGAGCTCGCCGCACCATCACCCTGACTCAGTCACACATGGTGCAGCAGGTCCTTCAGCGCTTCGGCTTCCAGTTCTCCTCACCACAGGCCACACCTCTGGCTACCAGCCACTCGCTCTCAGCTCCACCTTCGGACGAGTCCGTAGAGCCGAGTGGCCCGTACCCAGAGCTTGTAGGCTGCCTCATGTACCTGATGACTTGCACGCGACCTGACCTCGCGTACCCTCTTAGCATCCTTGCTCGTTACGTTGCGCCTGGGAGACACAGGCGAGAGCACTGGGAGGCTGCTAAGAGGGTGCTGCGTTACTTGTGCAGTACATCAGGCATGGGGCTGGTGCTTGGAGGACGCGACAGAGTTGTCCTCACTGGTCACTCGGACGCTTCTTGGGTGGACGACCTGGCTACGCAGCGGTCGTCACAGGGTTACACCTTCAGCCTTGGCTCTGATTCTGTCTCGTGGCGGTCCACCCGCTCTTCCTCTGTTCTCGGCTCTAGTTGTGAGGCTGAGATCTACGCCACAGCCATGGCTGCACAGGAGTTACGCTGGCTCACCTACCTGCTGACTGACTTGGGAGAGCGGCCTAGTTCTCCTCCAGTTCTGTACGGTGACAACAAGGCGGCTCTTGCCTTGTGTCAGGAGCACAGACTGGAGCACAGGACGAAGCACATTGCTCTTCGCTACTTTCTTGCTCGAGAGCTTCAGCAGCGCGGTCAGCTTCGGCTTGTGTACGTGGACTCGAAGGCCAACACTGCTGATATCTTCACCAAGGCTCTTCCGCCTTGTGACCACCAGCGGCACTGTACTTCTTTAGGCCTTGTGTCCACGTTTCCTCACTTGCTCACTGCTTGACATTCTTTGTACTGTACTTTATATATATCTTGTTGCTTGCTTGCTAGGTTTTGATCACTGTGTTGCTTGTCTTGTACTATATCTAGCACTGCATGTGAACTGGCCTTGTGGCCTTTGCTTGTGCTCGGAGTGTGGTGACGTTGTGATCCACCCTGGGCTTGCGTTGCTTTGCTAGACTGGTCTTGTGACCCTTTGTTCTCCCCCACTTTGCCTATGGGGGTGTGTTAAATTGTAATGTGTTATATGTTGGTAGGCTGTAGTGGGGTAGCCAATATGGGGTACAACCCCAACTAGGGTTTGCTACTTGTACCCAACTGTTCCATTCAATGCACCATTCTTGCCTAGTTATTCTGAGAGTACGCGCAGCGGGAGATACCACCGTCGCGAAGGATGCGCTCAAGGGAATGCGGAAGATCGCCAGGTCGCTCGGCTAGCAGAGAGGCGGATCGGGCGGATTGGATGGCGACCAGTGACGGACTGCACGGTGAAGGCGAGATCGGTCTGCAGATGAGATCGGCGCCAGGAACCCAGCCGTCGAAGAGCGATCCCTGGGATCTGGCAAAAGGCCAGCAGGGCGCGGGAGTAAGGCGGCAGGAGGACACAGAGGAGACGGAGTCGCTGACGTCAGCAAACGAGGCCGACGGCGAGGAGTCGGCGGAGGATTATCCAAAGGACGCGGGAGTAGATCACTCGTCGGGTAGCATGAGCAAGGCAGGCGAGAGGCGTCACGGAAAAACGCGAAGAGCGAGGGAAGGCGACGGGATCAGATCGCTCAGCAGACGAAGTGCGTGGGCGTGGCGAGAGGCGACGCGGGGGCGCGGAAGCAGATCGCGCGCCAGAGGAGGTGCGCGGAGGTGACGTGAGGCGCCAGGGGAGCCGCGCAGATGCAGATCGCGCACCAGAGGAAATGCGCAAAGGTGACGTGAGGCGCCAAGGGAGCCGCGCGGATGCAGATCACGCACCAGAGGAGGTGCGCGGAGGTGACGTGAGGCGCCAGGGGAGCCGCGCGGATGCAGGTTGCGCACCAGAGGAGATGCGCGGAGGTGACGTGAGGCGCCAGGGGAGCCGCACGGATGCAGGTTGCGCACCAGAGGAGATGCGCGGAGGTGACGTGAGGCGCCAGGGGAGCCGCGCGGATGCAGGTTGCGCACCAGAGGGGATGCGCGGAAGTGGCATGAGGCGTCGCAGGAACATGGCGGCAGATCACGCGGCAGCTGGGCATCGAGAAGATGAGGGTCGATGTCATGAACCCGCAGAAGCGCATCACTCGCCCGAGCCAAGGCAAGGCCATGAGAGAAGGAGGCACATGGCGATGGGGCGATCGCCGGAGAGGCAGGAAGAGGAAGCAGAAGAAGAATATGAGGAACAGCGCGAGCTGCGCTCGCCAACATGGGGGCGGAGCCACCAGGGGGAGGCGCGGGTCAGGAGTGGTGACCGTTCGTTGCCAGGCCCCTCAGGAGCAGATGCAAGAGCGAGCCGGGAAGGAAAGGAAGTGTACCCACGAGGAAGGGCAGAGGCTGCGAAGGATTTGGGCGGAGAGGCAAGGAGGCGACAAGAGAGAGAGGGACGAATCAGGAAGGGCGAGGGAGAGCGCTATCGCCGTGAGCTATCACCTGGTGAGGAGGCTGGAAGAGAGGACCATAGCCGCCAAGAGTGGGGAGAGCGGGAGAGGCGTCGCGGGGAATATTCGCCTAAAAAGGAAGACGGGCAGATGGGAGGTTCAGAAAGGCGAAGGGAGGCGTATGAGAACGAACGGGGAAGAAGCCCGAGTCCGGTGTGGTATAGGAGGCCGTAGCAATCATGGGAGGGCTCTAGGGAAGTGAGGGCGGCCAGAGAGGGCATCAACCGCATCCTGTATGGGATAGGAGAGAGGGGTAGGGAGACAAGGAAAGCAGCTGATGAGATGAAAGGGAGAAAGAGAGGGGAAGAAACGAGGGGGAGAGGTGAGGGACAGCGCAGAGTAAGTGAGAAGTTGAGGGGAGGAGAGAGCGAAGGTGGAAAAGAGTGGTTCAGACAAGAGCACCAGCGAAGTGGCGAGGGGAAGCATCACCAACAGGGATTCCGCCCTGATGAGAAGGAAAGGTTCAGGGAGGGGCAGGAAAGTCAGAATATATTACGGGAAAGGATGAGGAGTTCACATAGGCACGATAGGCCATGGGGGGCGGGGGGAAGCTTAGCAAGAGCAAGAGTGGCCAGAGAAAGTATGGAGCAGGTGCTGTATGATGCAAGGGAGAGGAGCAAGGGATCGGAAGCGTGGGGCAGAAGGAACAGTCAGACGGGCAGAGGGGTGTCGATGACATGGGAGACGGGGAGGTGGAGAGCCATGGAGCTGCCAAAGGTGGAGGTACCTGTCAGATTCATAGGGAACGCGGGGACAGGAGCGGGACTTAAGAATTATCTCATGCAGATAGGCAACGTGAAGTATCGGTGCGATCGGAGCGGGATGGATCCAATTTATTTCTTTCTAAGCTTATCCAATACCTTGGGAGGAGATGCAGAGACGCTGTACCGGATGAAGATGACAGAATGGTTGAGACGGGCGGAGAAGGATGACGAGGACCCGACCTCGTTGTTCCTGGAGCGGGTAAGGAAGCAATTCCCTGGGCACACGGCTGACAAGATAAGAGAGTTTCAAGAGTTTAGGCGAGGGGAGGGTGAGTCACTGCTAACGTACTTCGGAAGGTTGGTTAACTTGGCAGAAGACGTGGTATGCACAGACAGCAGCATGCTAATTAGTAAGTTTTTGGGAGGCCTGGATGAAGGGCTGAGTGGTGGGTTGCGCATGCGAGTGTATGAGTTGGGGGCAGACGCTACACTAGAAAGGTGTTCGAGCTAGCGGAGAGCGTGTAGCTGGCACAGAGGCGGTACGAGGCGTACCTGCCAAAAGTACCAGAGAAGAGGCAGCCCACGTGGGCTACGGCGATGATACCTGAGGACGGGGACAGGGAGGAGCAGTGGCAGAAGAAGCGACCAGGGACACGTACATGCCACAGGTGCGGGCAGGTGGGGCATATCCAAAGAGATTGCAAGAACTGTGATGCATGCGGAAGGCCCGGACACTGCCGGAAAGACTGTCCGAAAGCACCGACCTGTGAGGAGTGTGGGAGAAGGGGACATCAGGCCAGGGAATGCTACCAGGGAGCAGGTGGACCAAAGAGGTCACCCGGGGAAATTGAGGACGAGATCAGAAGGTTAAAAGCCCAACTACAGGCACTAGGAGGAAGGACAGAGAGGAAGGAAGGGGAGGAGGAGGAAGAGGAGCAGAAGCCTGAGCACCCTTTTGCGGTGCTGCGTGGCCATGAAGACATGAGGCTGTGCAGTGGGGGCAGGGACGGACGAAGGGAGCAGGTGAGTAGGGTGGGGGCATGGGCGTGTATGTTAGTAACACCAGCAGCAGCGGGAGCGGAGGAACGGGACGAGCAGGTGGGGGCAGAAGCTTGTGTATCGGCAGCAGCAGGAGCGGAGGAACGGGATGAGCAGGTGGGGGCAGAAGCGTGTGTGCGAGTAACACTAGAAGCGGAAGAGAGGGTCAAGAAAGTGGGGGCATGGGCGGGTGAACCAGTAGCAGCAGGCACTGCAGGGAAGGACGAGGAGGTGAGGGCAAGGGCAGCCGCAGGAGGGGAAGGGAAGGCCGAGAAAAAGGGGGCAGGGGCGTGCGAACCAGCAGCACCAGAGGCGGAAGAGGAGCAGGTTGGAGCAGGGCTGTGTGCACTAGCAGCAGCGGAAGCAGAGAAGGAGGAGCAGGTGGGGGCAGGAGCGTGTGTACCAGCAGCAGCAGAAGCAAAGGAGAAGGAGGAGCAGGTGGGGGCGGGAGCATGTGTACCAGCAGCAGTAGAAGCAGAAGCGAGGGAGGAGCAGGTGGGGGCAGGAGCGTGTGTACCAGCAGCAGCGGAAGCAGATAAGAAGGAGGAGCAGGTGGGGGCAGGAGCGTGTGTACCAGTGGCAGCAGCAGCGGAAGGGCAGGACGAAAAGGTTGAGGCATGGGCATGCGGGCCAGCAAAGGAAGAAGCCAAGTGTTCGGAGAGGGAGGCAATGACCAGGAAGGAGAGGGAAGTCGTACTCATGACAGAGATAGCGGGAATAGGAGGGCCTGAGAATTGCGAGGCACGGGCAACAGTCAGGGCAAGGTTCCTGGAAGAAATGCTGCCGGCAGCCCTGACGAACCTGCATACAGAGCAGATGAGAGAGGCACACAGGCAAGAGGAGTGGCAGCAGCAAGCCGACAACAAGAACAAAGGCAGCGGTGGAAATGAGATAGAAAGTGTCCCTGTGGAGGAGGAAGAAGGATTCTTTGGGAATGGCGCCGGGCACGCAGAGAGGGCAGGCGAGGAATCGGAGGGGTCCGAGATCGCTGGTGCTGGCAGGGAGAAGGGGGGAACAGAGCGTGGGCCACCAGACCTTCACGGCAGTGGAGCAGAGCAGCCGACCTCAGCTGGGAAGTCCTGTGACTCGGGCCCGAGCAGCTCAAGCACGAGCACAGGAGGGGGCAGGTAGTAGCTGAGGCAAGACAGAGAGGGCAGCGATTAACATCGGGACATGGAAGGGCGGACGGGAGAGGTGAGTATGAAAGGAATGAAGGAGACAGGAGAAGTGGCAAGCAGAGGAGATTACGACATACCACCACCCCCAGACCCCCCACGGTGAGAGTACCACTCACGGAGCTGCTGAGGCGACTGGGTCTCGCCGGGACGCTGCTGCTGCTGCCTCTGGCCACCGCCGAACCCGCCACGCTGCACCGCTCCACCGCGCCCTCCACCAGCTCCACCGCCACCACCACCACCCCCGCCACCCCCACCACCGCCGCCGCCACCACCCCCGGCTCCGACTGCCCCCCACCACCAGCACCACTCCCACTCCCACCACCGCCGCCACCGCCGCCGCCCCCTCCACCCCCTCCACCACCGCCGCCCCCGCCAACACCTCCGCCACCCCTGCCCCCCTTGCCCCTGCCACCCTTGCGCCTCCCAATGGGAGCAGACGCAGCCCCGACCCCTTCAGCACCGAGGAAGTCGACAGCAGCAGCAGATGCAATGGAGGGGAGAAGGGGGGAGGGGGAGCATCCCTCAAAGAGGGGAGTGCGAGCCACGAGAGGCACCTACAGCTACAATGCTCTTCTCAGCTGCTAGGAGTTCCTTCTCGAGGAGGTCGACAGTGAGGTCAGTGGGGGAGAGAGCGAGAAACTGGTCCCTGACAGCGCGAAGAGAGTCAGGGAGGCGAGTGACTACGTGGTAGAGGGTGAGGTATATCGAGGGAGGGTTCTTGGCTAGGAAATCGGGGGGAAGCGCGGCACGGTAGCGGAGATCACTAGTACGGAGGTGAGTGACGAGATCAGCTACGGTGGCAAAGGCGGACAGATCGGGGAAGAGGTACGGCAGCAAGAGACGGCCTATCGCAGCAGTAGCAGGGGAGGAGTAGCGTGCAACGACAGCATCGTACAGCTCCTTGGTGGTCTTATGCTGGCCAAAGTGCTCGCGCTCATCTAACGGCAGGTGGCTGCGAACGGCTAGGCGAGCATGAGCGTCATGTGTCTGCCACTGTGAGCGAGTAGTACTGTCAACAGTAGCAGCAGGTGCGGAAGCAACGCCGGACGTGTGGTCATAAAGGGAAATATCGTCCTTGGCGGTGATCTGGAGGTACACGTGGAGGTCATCTAGCCAGACATCAAACTTAATCGGACGGCCCTCAACGTCAAAAGTGAGAACGGTAGGACTGGCCATAGTGGCAGTAGCAGTAGCAGGAACAGTAGCAGCAGTAGCAGTAGTAGCAGTAGCAGTAACAGAAGCAGCAGGTGCTGCAGGTGGGGCACAGTAGGGCGGCGCGGCTCGGTCAGGGTGGCGCGGCTCGGGCAGGACAGTGCGGCGCGGCTCGGTCAGGGAGGGTGGGCCGGCGTGCGGTCTGCGGTTGTGCGAGGTGGCAGCCTACGTGCGGGCGGCATCCGTCGTGAGGGCGGCTTACGTGCGGGTGGCGGGCTAGCTCGGGCGGCGGCCTAAGCGCATGAGGCGGCGGCGCGCGGCGGTCGACGAGCAGCTCACGGGTTGCGCTAGGGGCCACGCGAGGCCAGGGCGGGCTGCGCGTGGGCGGCGTCGACGGCGCGGGCCGCTAGCGGGTCGCGCGTACGAGAAAAGGGCCGCGCGCGGGCGGCTAGCGGGCGACGCGGCCGAAAAGCGGGGCGCTCGAGGGCGCACTAGGCGCAAGGCGCACGAGGGCGCAGGTAAGAGAAGGCGCACGAGGGCGCTACTAGCGGATAGGTGGGCCCGTAGGAACGTTCGGTCCTAGGTTCCTAACCTAGGCTCGTAATACCATGTCAGAATGAGAGAAGTGGTTGGACTAGCAAGATTGTGAGTACAAGTATGAAACCCTAGAATATTGTACCCCCTAAGGCTAAACCCACTGTAGCCTACAGAACAGCAACATATATAATGTTTGACAGCAGCTCGTGCAGAGGTTCGCGTGTGTTCGCCTGCGCAAGGTCGCGTCTGGCCCTGCGCACCCTTGAGACTCCACAGACGAATTTTGGCCAGAAATTCGAATGTGCCCTAATTTCGACCAATGTGCAGCTGACATTTTGAAATGTCGACCGAGGTGTTCGACAAAGGTGGTCGATGAAGGTCGTCGACTCGCGACGACGAAGGTCGTCGACACGCGACGACGAAGGTCATCAACCGGTGATGACAAAGGTCATCATCCTGCAGAAATGCCAGGGACTTCACCTGATTGACCAAGTTACCTGCTCGACGAGGTGCGCGAAGGTATGCGAATGTCGTCGAGGTTGCAGTGGCGAAGTCGACCGACGTG